TGTTTGCGTTGGCTCTAGGAAAATTTAGGATCACTCTCTGTATAGCACTCTGTTAACCTATGAACGAAATTCAGACATACATACCACACAGACGGTTTTCTCTGCTGTATGGTTATTCAACATGTATATTCAATATTGCACTTAACTTTCGATGATTCATTGAATAATAATGAATAATTCTCTGAGAATATGACGAACGAGTTCAAAAAAACATTGCTCCGTAAATCTTACACAAACAGTGATCTAATGACCCATTCCAGTGTCACGGACTAATTACGAAGACCCACACACAGGTTTGTGAAGTATTCAAATGAGCACTTACTGTAATACACTTATAGCAAAACCCCTGATATAATTAAAGCACATTCATTCAGCTTCATATTTCAATGAGTTTCAATCTCTGGCAGTTCATCTTCCACGTTTATATACATGAATGTAGAATCACCTGGCTCTTACTGTTTATATTAAATTTATCTTGTAGTTTCGCCAAACATAAGACATTTTATTTTTTGTAAAGCTGTGTCAAATAATGCTGATTTGCACAAATTGCGTAATCTACCTCTTCAAATAGTGGTCCATCTTTTTTTCCTATTTTTAAAAAAACCTTTTTTAAATTTTAAGAGATGGCATATCTAAAAACTGGCACGTGACGCTCAGGATCCTGAGATCTATAAAGGTATAAAGGTAAAGTGTAAAGGTGAAGAAAGGAACCTGAGCAGTGGCCGGACAGCATGGAATGAAGCTGAAGATCAAGAGGTCGACTGGAGAGGTAGAAATAATAAAGAAGCAAGAGACTGCTGTGAACTTCGAAATATTTCTGTGTGCTACCAGAAGAATGGGAGTTAACTACTGGGAATGTCGCAGTGAAGAACAAGGAAGGTAAGAATATTGTGCTTGTTGGGGACAGTCAGTTTAGGTACGTGGATAGGGCCTTCTGCTTAAAAGGGAAAAAGAGTAGGAGATAGAGGGCGTGTTTTCCCGGGGGCTGGGAGGGGAGAATAATGTTAGCCGGCTTGACATCATGTATGGTAATGGGACCAGTCCTATTTGCCTCAGTGTTGGAAGCGATGATGTAAGAAAGCGTAGAAGTGAGGATTTAGTTAGAAGATATAGGGCAGCAATAGACATTATTAGGAAGAAGGGAGGAAACCCTGTTATTTGTGGAATTTTGCCAAAATGGGGTGTTGGAAATGAATGGCTGTCCAGAGCGATTGGTATAAATTGCTGGCTGGACAAACACTGTAAGGATAATGCGTACCATTCATTGAAAACTGGGACCACTTCAATGAGCGAAATGGTATGTATGCCAGGAATGGGGTTCACTTATCCAGGGCAGGTGTGGGATTTCTCGCTAGCTCAGTTGAGGATGTTGTTAGGGCTTTAAACTAGGATTCGTTAGAGGTATGATTTTAGTAATGGAAAATAATGAGTGTCGAAATATTGATTTAGGTTTTGATATCATAAACCTTAACAATGACAGTCATCGAGTAACACAGGTAACGAGAGTAAAAATAAATTGTGTAAAAGAAAAGCTGAATAGAAAAAAAAGGGTCACAAGAATAAGCACATTAATGTTATGCTATAATAACTGTCGAAGTACCAGAAATAAAATTAATAAATTACGTTTGGTAGCATGTGCTGGGAACTATGATGTCATCGCAATAACTAAAAAATTGTATAATTTAAAGAGTCGGGATATGGTTGCTGAGTGTCATATTCAAGAGTTTAAGTTTTTTCCATGTAGATAGATAAAACGGTATAAAACAGAGGGATCAGTAACAGAATCAGTTTTGGAAGGTTTCTAGAATGTCAAGAATAACTAATTCTAGGTGAAGTATACCGACCTCCAGACTTGGATTACGACAGCGGGATTTCTTTGGAAAGAAACTGTTAGAGCTTCTGACACAATAAAGATAATGATAGTAGGGGATTTTAACTTTAGTCAAATTGACTGGATTTTTTTGATCGGTAAAATGGAGCTCAGTGACTTTATGGAAGACGTTCAGGACTGTTTTCTGAAGCAGTGTGTAACAGAACTACCAGTTCATAATTTGCTAGACCTGGTCTTGTCAAATAAAGAAAACACTCGTAAATAAACCCGGAGGTCGCTGAAGAGCTTGGCGCAAGTGATCATAAATCCATTACTTTAGCATTTCCTGGGAATACGAGAATAATGACAATACTGTAAAAGTCTCTGATTTTCGTTCTGCCGATTATAATGGACCCAGGGAAACCTGTCTAATCTTGATTGGGGGGAATCTAGCTAATGATTTTTTTGACCCATGATCATACTTACGATTACGAAGGGATCTCTGCGTTTATGATCTTGTCTTAATAATGACAACGTGCTCTGAGTATAATATTCTCCCAGGGAGAAATTAGGCCAAATACTAACGATCCCAAATGGTTTAAAAAATTTTTTCACAGAAAAAATAAGAAAATCAGAAAGCCTAACATTTGTTGATGGAAAGGTATACTCATTGAATTATTTCAATAAATTGGCAAATTGGCACGTAGACGAGACCAAATCAATCCCAAGCACGTCTCTAGGCAACCCTAACCATAGTTTAAGTAAAAAAACAGATCAGAAAATGCATCTTCCAGTTCCTGCCTGGAAAATAATTTTTCTTAAATTCGCAAACCTAGGATTTGGAAAACCTGAAATCGGTGCGACGCTTTCTTTGGGGAAAAAGAATCATAGCGTTAAAAGTTTGAAGATATTCTCCAACTATCTCGAAGAATTCATCAAAATCAAGGCAAATTTCGTAACTCGTTTATTTACCGTCCGATTTTCTCCAGTTTTGGTGCACAAGACAAAGTGTTCTCACTCTTTCTTGAAAATATTTATAAAAAACATACCTCAAACAACAACTGAGAAAAGACTGATTTACTGAAAATGCTGTGTGGGTTGATGTCCTTCTTATATGCGGCTACGTAAGGTTGTTTGGACACTTGGTGCCGAGAGAACAATGCTAATGATTTTTTTTTTTCCTTTGCTCGATTTCGTTGATTTTTTACCAGAGACTTTAGGCATATTGAGCCTCATGTGGTGAAAGTTGCATCAAGATCGTCCAATAAATAAAGTTATAAAAAATAAAAATGTGAAAAATTGGACATGACAACACTTATAGCAACGCAAGTCAATATTGACAATCTCGAAATTATTGTTGATAATCACAAATGATAAAGTAATGCCAAATTGACTTTCTAATGGATATAAATAATGCAATAACATGTTTTATGGTCCCCAAAAAAAAATATTATGTCTTGACTTTATTTAAAAAATTTTTTTTGCACTTTACATCAATTTATGCAAAACTGAAGGTATTATTACCCAAGACAACTCCATTACAAAGTCAAACAGGCTCCCCTGAATAACTTTTGTAAAATTCAGAATGATCGGTTCATAAATAATGGTTTTACCTCAGATTATTATTATTATAATCAAGGGGGAAGCGCTAAACCCGGAGGATTATACAGCGCCTGTTTACCTCAGAAAAATACAAATAAATGCACTTTTGAAAAAAATCAACAAATACATTGAACATTACTATACAGTGGGTAAAAATACTCATAGTGCCTTTATACGTTTATTGAGAGTAGAACTGGTTATATAGACATTATTCCTGAAGTTCCATGAAGATCCCTTTGTCCTGAAGTTCTCTTGTGGCCGGCCAATCATAAAAATCCATCCCAATCAATCTGAAAAGAAAGAAATGAATTCTCAAAATCTTATTCCCAGTGATTATTCCCAGTGATTATTCCCAGTGATTATTCCCAGTGATTATTCCCAGTGATTATTCCCAGTGATTATGTACAGATACATGTAATTGCACCCATATATGATATTTATACACAATATAAAAATATACCAAAAAAACACTAATAATTACGTACCTATGACTGGATGTAGGTGGAACACATGATTAAACTAATGTCCTCCAGGCAGCAGTGGAGGTAGTAGTTGTGGTAGTAGCAGCAGTGGAGGTAGTAGTTGTGGTAGTAGCAGCAGTGGAGGTAGTAGTTGTGGTAGTAGCAGCCGTGGAGGTAGTAGTTGTGGTAGTAGCAGAGGTGGAGGTAGTAGTTGTGGTAGTAGCAGCCGTGGAGGTAGTAGTGTGGTAGTAGCAGCAGTGGAGGTAGTAGTTGTGGTAGTAGCAGCAGTGGAGGTAGTAGTTGTGGTAGTAGCAGCCGTGGAGGTAGTAGTTGTGGTAGTAGCAGAGGTGGAGGTAGTAGTTGTGTAGTAAGCAGCCGTGGAGGTAGTATGTGTAGTACAGCAGTGGAGGTAGTAGTTGGGGTAGTAGCAGCAGTGGAGGTGTAGTTGTGGTAAGTAGCAGCAGTGGAGGTAGTAGTTGTGGTAGTAGCAGCATGGAGGTAGTAGTTGTGGTAGTAGCAGCCGGGAGGTAGTAGTTGTGGTAGTAGCAGCAGTGGGGGTAGTAGTGTGGTAGTAGCAGCAGAGGGAGGTAGTAGTTGTGGTAGTAGCAGCAGTGGAGGTAGTAGTTGTGGTAGTAGCAGCCGTGGAGGTAGTAGTTGTGGTAGTAGCAGCAGTGGAGGTAGTAGTTGTGGTAGTAGCAGCCGTGGAGGTAGTAGTTGTGGTAGTAGCAGCCGTGGAGGTAGTAGTTGTGGTAGTAGCAGCAGTGGGGGTAGTAGTTGTGGTAGTACAGCAGTGGAGGTAGTAGTTGTGGTAGTAGCAGCAGTGGAGGTAGTAGTTGTGGTAGTAGCAGCAGTGGAGGTAGTAGTTGTGGTAGTAGCAGCAGTGGAGGTAGTAGTTGTGGTAGTAGCAGCAGTGGAGGTAGTAGTTGTGGTAGTAGCAGCCAGTGGGGGTAGTAGCTGTGGTATAGCAGCAGTGGAGGTATAGTTTTTTGGTAGTAGCAGCAGTGGAGGTAGTAGTTGTGGTAGTAGCAGCAGTGGAGGTAGTTGTGGTAGTAGCAGCAGTGGAGGTAGTAGTTGTGGTAGTAGCAGCAGTGGAGGTAGTAGTTGTGGTATAGCAGCAGTGGGGGTAGTAGTTGTGGAGTAGCAGCAGTGGAGTAGTAGTTGTGGTAGTAGCAGCAGTGGAGGTAGTAGTTGTGGTAGTAGCAGCAGTGGAGGTAGTAGTGTGGTAGTAGCAGCAGTGGAGGCAGTAGTTGTGGTAGTAGCAACAGTGGAGGTAGTAGTTGTGGTAGTAGCAGCCGTGGTGGAGGTGGGCATATTTGCGGGGCTCCTATATTTTGTCTTCCTTGTTTCTGAACATGAAATATCCAACAGTTCAGTAGCAGTGAACAAGGACAGGTGTTGAGAGGAGGGAGGTGGTACTAGCATCGTGGCGGCGTCACCACGTGGTGTTACTAGCATCGTGGCGGCGTCACCACGTGGTGTTACTAGCATCGTGGCGGCGTCACCACGTGGTGGTACTAGCATCGTGGCGGCGTCACCACGTGGTGGTACTAGCATCGTGGCGGCGTCACCACGTGGTGGTACTAGCATCGTGGCGGCGTCACCACATGGTGGTACTAGCATCGTGGCGGCGTCACCACGTGGTGGTACTAGCATCGGGCGGCGTCACCACGTGGTGGTACTAGCATCGTGCCGGCGTCACCACGTGGTGGTACTAGCACGTGGCGGCGTCACCACGTGGGTGGTACTAGCATCGTGGCGGCGTCACCACGTGGTGGTACAGCATGGTGGCGGCGTCACCAACCCACACAGCTGCTGCTCACTTTGTTTTTTGTTTAGCCCTTATCATTGCTTCTATGTTCCTTTCCCTCCTCTTCCTGCTAATTTTAAAGGGCAAACTTTTTTCTTCTTTGCAGGCATTGTGTACCAAAAATGTATACAATGAAAGGCAAAAAGTAACGTCCCAAGGGTAGTCAGCTGTCAGACAAAGTAACACACCCTATCTCTCTCCAGACTTCCAGTCGGCACTGACTTGATATGGTGTGAGCAGCTCCTTCTCACAGCTAACCTGATGGGTTTCCAGTACTATTTAGAAGATCTAGCTAAAAAAAAACACCAAAAAAAAGGAAAAAATACCTGTGATACTGTTTTATGAAGCGAGTCGCGCTGGAGCACGTGTTATTGTTATGGTGAGCTGGGCCGCGTCATGCTGATGACGTAGTTGTTATAATTACGATAGCTTTATATGTAATTATCGTACAGAGACGAGGCGCACACCAAAATGTTGCCAGATCTTTGCTCTATTTTTCGGTAAGATTAACTCATTTTTCATATTCTTTCGATTTTTTGGTGTATTTAGGCTCAGACTCGGCGGCCTGTACCTTTTCTGGGAAAGGCTTCATTGCCCTTTTTCAGCTGATGTACTTAAGACCAGGATAATACTCATTCAGTTTAGTTTGTGTGAAGGCAAAATAATTTATTTTCAATGCCATAAATATAATTTGGCAACTCTGCATTTTTTTATCAAACTGAACGATCGTAAAAGAGCAGAATGTCACTACAGTTGTAAGGAATTTTAAACCAATAAAAAGGGAAACTCAATGATGGAAAACTATTAAAATTTATAAATTTTGTAGCGTTTTTGAATTTCGTGAGTTGAGAGAATTCTTAAATGCAGCAGCAATAAGTCACTCTGTCTGACTCTTTTTTTGGGTTTTTCCCCGGTTCTGTACACATATGCTGCCATGTGTGATAATCTATGTAAGTGTATTTTGTGATATAATTTTTCA